CTGGGCGGGGGAGGAAGCCGGAGTCTGAGGCGGGGGGGAGGCGGGGACTTAGGAATATGGAGTTGGGGAACAGGGAATTCTGGGATTCTTTATCCGGTATTTTTAAGGTCCCCGGGGGGACTGTGGTATTTGCAAGGATAAAGGGGCGGGCTGCGGCAGCCAGAACCGGCGGCCGCAATAGGCGCAGAGGTAAGAGACGGACGGCCGGCGGCTCGGTGGGAAGTCTTCATCAACAGTCCCCCCCGGCGCGCGGCGGGGAAGGGGCGCCGGGCTCGTCCCCTACCCCACACGCCCGGTGCTGGGCCCTGGGGAACCTCGGGCTGCTCGAAGGGCTGCCCCACGCAGCGGGATCCGCAGCCCGTCTACTGAGGGCGTGAGCCCAACCTTTGTCCCTTGGAGGAACGCTGCCTTGCTGTACCCAGCCCTCGGTCCAGACGGTCCGGACGAGGGACCCACCTTGGCGGGGCTGCCGCCGCCCGGCCCGACTTGCAGGGGGCGCGGCTGGGAGTCGCCGGTCCTCTGCGCCCCCGGCCCCCCGGTCGGGACTCCCTGTGGGCCGGGTCGGGGAAATCGGCCGGGCGAACACTTTCCTTTAGAAGACGGAATGCAGTCAGCGTTCCTCCGCCTGACTCAGCTCCTGGTATTCGGCTGCTCGTTACGTTCTTTCAACAAATAAACAAACAGTTCCTTCCTTGTGACCACTTTGAAAGAAAATCCTGCTCTCGTAAATAGTTTCCGATCATTTACTAGGTGAACTTTGAAGCCTGTAAGTGGTTGTAAGCTGCTGCATTTAATGAAAGGCGTTTTAAACAATCGTTAGTGCAAATTATATAACTTCCTAATAATAACGCACCTTGTGTTTAGTTGATTGACATACAGTCATGTGTACGGAATTTAGGCTTCGGTCGAAAGGTGTGTTGTTTTTGGCAGTTAGCGCTAAAATTAAAATCTGATAGCTAGGAGGATTTTACAAGTACATATGCAGTGTATGTTTTGTCTCCGTACGCGTTTAGAATCGTAAGAATTTAGATAT